TGACAACGGCGAGAGTACGAAGGGTGAGCCTCATGACAGTTAAGGCAAGAGGGAGATCGATTGCAAGACGTATTAGAATGGTCATCGGCACCACAGACTGGGCATTCGGCGATAGATCTGCAATATTTCGCTGGATGGCCAAATCGCCAGCAATTTCTACACTGTTGTGGTGTAGGGATCACCTTTCGAACTTGTAACCGATGTCCTGCTATATAAACGCTACAGCCAGAGATTGCAGCTGTCTCTACATCTGGACAGCCTCCTACAACACTATTACAGCATTACATATATTTTATTCTTCTTGGTCATTACTTTCTCAAATGTAGTCACCTTTAATGTATATATGTTAGGTACACTGCTAAGGAAATCATTCTTTTATGATCTTGGCATGCACTTACCGTGCATCAGCTGATCACCTTCCTACATCCAACTTAGCCTAGTAGGCCTGCATTAACCTCCCTCACATCTTCACGCGTGTCAAATAATTACTAACAAGATATGAGGCAAGTTATACTGCAGTAATTCTTACCAAAGTACAATAGTAAAGGACAGACTGGCAAATTTGTAGGGGTCTGGAACTTAACTATTTTCATACCATGCTGATTTTCGAACATAACCAGTGTAATGAATGAGGGTTTACTGTACAGGCATTTTAAGCATGCATTCCTTATATTTCAGTTTGTCATCATTCACCAAGGAGAGAGAGCCCCTCAAGTGCACCAAATTATAAAGGTTTTACTCAAAATGCTTTATTCCACAAGTGGTGGTCTTTTTCCAGGGAATTAACCATGAGAAGTTTTGGCATATATCGGATAAGCATTTTTAAATACATAAAAAAAATTTGCTTCTTAATTTGAAACTTTGGAAAAATTGAGACTTGATTTTTTAAACTTCCAACACAAAAAGGGAGCAAAAAAACAAATTGCCTACTTTAAGTTCAAGCCACTATCAAACCAGAGCAAAAAGGCCTATATTTCCCCAAGTGTGCCACATCCCGGGATAAAAATTTTAAAATTTAAATTTCATTTTTTTTTGTTTATTTCTATCTCCCAAAAAATCCACTTGTTCATAGTCATGCAAGTAGCAATAAAAGACTTGCATATGCAAAAACAAAGACTTTGCCCTTCAAGAACATAACTGGGGCTTCCCCAAATTTTCCCAGGCTTGCAAGTATGCCTCTAGGAAAATCGGGTTTTTTCCCAAAACGAGTTTTTAAAAACAAAAAGCAAAGACCGAACAAGTGCTAATTACACATTATTTATGTTGCTGGGGGAAAAAATTGTAAAAAGGGTGGGAGGGAAAAACAAAGTAATAAAGCCCCAAAAATGTGTAGGTTTAAAAAAACCCAAACCCAAATTTTATAAAAAGAAATCTAACCAAAAATTTAAATTTATCAGAATGACCTCTTAACTAAAAATTTTATACTGTAAAAGGGAAAAATTTTTAAAAATTTTCACCCCAATAAGTGGGTTTGATTCATTCCTTTTTGCCTTTTTCATTTTTTTATGAAGGGGTTTTAAGGGGGCACCAGGGGTTTTCAAAATAAAAACCCAAAGACTAATTTAAACAATTTCTTAAGGGAAAAAAAAAAAGTTTAAATATACACCCAAACAAATAACCAAAATATCCTTAATTTAAAATGAGGAAAAGATAAAATTTAACTCAAAACTGTTTTAAAAAACCCCAAATCCCATACAAGTTTTTGCATTATAAATACAAATCCAAAGAATAAAAAATTTTTAAGTAATTAACCCCCCTTTTACATTGCTTTTAAACCCCTTGCGGGCTATTCAAACTTATTTCCCCACAACATTTCAGATAAAAAAAGTATTACTACTGACAGTTAATTTAATTGGGGGTATAAAATCTTGAATTTAAAATGCCCCAAGTGAATCAATTAAACCCCTGGGGCTTTTTCCACATTTCAATAATCCTTGACTGGGCATCCCAAAATTTTAAAATATCAGTCTTTACAAAATACAGAATGTACTGTAATTCTTTACCAGTATAAATTGTCTAATACAAAAATATATTTAACTTTAAATTTGCTATAAACTTTTCCCTCTTAAAAATTGGCCAAAATTTGAACACAGTAAATGAATCAAACTTGGAATAAATAACTAAACAAGCTATTTATCATACTCTTTACAGAATGCATTTTTTTTTAAGAAAACATATTTTTATATGAAAATTTTCTACAGAAAAAAAAATGATATTTTAATATAATAAAATGTTCAGATTCTGTGAAACAACAAATGAAAACATTCTACAGTAGTCAGGTATCAGAAACTAAGCTACCATGAAAGCACTAAAGTGTATCAGTTACATAAAAAAAATTCTGTACACGTACTTCCATACAAGACCAACATTCTATATTTATTGTTGTAATAAAAAAAAAAAAACTACATTTCTTCTTGCTCCTAATAATGCTCTACTAGATTATAACTGTTACGATAAAAGGAACACCCACAATTTCCTTTTTATCTTTCTCTTTGCATGCTGTATGTAAGACACTTTTTATAACACAAGTGACTGTCTAAAGGTGCAATTATGAAATCTTATTATAAATATCTTATTATAAATGATCACTGTTAACTCAGCTGTTAAGTGGTTCCGTGGATTATCCATACCTGTAAAATTGGACCCTTAATGAGAGGACACTCATATTGAAGATGAACAGGAAACTAGCAAAATCCTAAAAGAACAGTATGAGTCATGTGTTCAGTAACCCACTAAATGAAAGCAGGGTAGATTAATGCATTAATATTTTTCATTCCATTGGAAGGAGGTGCAGACCAACTTGCATTAGTACTAATCCCATAGATTTTGAAAAAGAAATTTAAAACATGCCCCCTCACTCAGCACTTGGACTAGATTTGTGGGATGCCCTATTTATAAAAAAGGGCAAAGTACCACTAGCATAAGCTCTCAGTAGTCTAAGGAGAAAGAGCCTAGATCCAGGTGAAACACCCGAGACCTTAAAGAATGCAGACATAGCTCCTTTTGCATAAAGGAGCATTACCTAAAAATTACACACCAGTAGCCCTAACTTCCCACATTAAAAATCTTTGAAAGAGTAATGAGAAGTAACAGTTGTAAAATATCACATAGTGGTACTCATCAATGCTTGTTATTACTGTTCTCTTGCAAAGTACATTTATATCAAGCATGAAAATAGTGTTGGGTAAGGTGAAGAGCTAAAATTTTGGCTATGAACACTAAAATTCTTGGAAAAACTTGAGATTTTGACATCTACACTAATATTTCACATTTTTCATTTTTTACCATGCTGGCTGTCTCCCATCACTGTAGAGATGACCCCCCAAAATAGGAAACATTCACCATCAATCATTTCATTCAACAGCTGTTTTTGCCAAGTGCCCAGATATCACAAGTCAAACAAATCTGACCAATAACATCCCCATTCCTCCTTCACAGTGCAGGCACTGTACTTCTCACCTCCAGCACTCTGGCTAACCATTACCCTGAATCTCTTGCTCACACTCCAACAGCCTGTCAAATCTCTTCAACCAACTTATGTACAATCTCCCTACTTTACTCCCTACATTCTTATATGCTTGATAGATGCTCATATGTACCCTATCTCATAAAACTCCTTCACACCCTCCCTCCAACCCTTCCCTGCACCCTGGATTTGTACACCCTCTATGTCATCTTATTCTGCTCCTTAAATAACCAGACCTAAATAACCCCTTGTCTCTCCTCTGAATAATACTTTATTACCCTAGTTCAACATGCACTCAAGGATACTTGGCCAAAGGCTGAGCCAGTAAGAATAAAAAGAAAAAAAGTCACAGGTATACACCACAAGTATTTTTACAATGACTTTCAATTCGTCCAAATTCTTTGCATATTAATGCCAAACATTGCTCTTAAACATGACATCTGCACTGCCACCAGCCACCTCCTTGCTGCAACATTTAAAGCCCCATATCTCATCCATATACAAGAATTTATAGCACATTCTCACTAGTAATTGTGCTTTATCATGCACTAGCATATACACAAGGGTTATGGTTATAAATACAGTAATGACATAAAATTCGCAGATGTCATTAAATGAGTGATATACACGATGACATATGCATTCCATCTCAACAAACAAAACTGACTGGGGCAGTAGCTAATTTCTGATGATTTAGAGATACACGTGCCTCTCACCTTCTGATATTTCCAAAATAAGTCTACTAGGGTATTGAGAGGCTGATAGCCAAACAGCATCAGATTTCATCCAAATGAACATTCCATTCAAGAAATCAAGATTCCAATGTTTGTGTTCTACTGTATTCAGGAAAGTCCTAAACTTTTACCTGTGTCATACCTGTGACTAGATTAAAGTTCCTATATTCCTGAAACCTAGCTTTAGGCTCAATTTGTCAACTGTGTAGCTAACTAAGCAGCTGCTGCTATCAGCAACCTGCTGGCCTTAACCAACCCTAGCTAATTTAGCACTTGTTGCAAGAATGGGTGTTCAATTACCTCTTGAAGCTTAACTTCAAACTTTAAAGAGAATTCCTAATACAAATTAAATAAGAGAACATGTACTGACAAGTTTTCTGAAAAAAAAAAAATTAAAATCCTTTAACTAGCAGGTTCTCATTTATTTGGATTCTTGAAATTATAGTACATCCCCAATCCTATAATCTTGTCATGAAATTTTTGTAATTTTATAGAGGTAAAGCATTTTTTTTAAGGTCTTGAAGTTTTCATGGATTACCTAGTTACCCTGCAGAACCTTTCTAACCTTTGGAAATAATATTTTCAGTAACTTCAATAATGCATACTGTAAAAGAATATATCATGCTAATCTATTTTTGCATAGCCATAACAAAAAAAATATAAAGCCAAAGAAAGATTCTAAGCCAGTCTTTGCAAAAACAAGGGACTATATTTTTATCTTAAAAGAATTACATAAAAAGTGACCAAACTTAATACATTTACATAAACAGGAACTACAGAGGAACAATAAATGTATTAGCTGATATCTAAGAATCTTTAATTGTAACAGGTTTTCCAGGACTGTACACTATGAACAAAAATATTTATTTTTATTGGGTAATGACCAATTTATATTGACCTTAACTTAACAAAAAGCATCACCTACAAAATAAGTGACAGATAACCATCACATTTATAGTGCAATTAAGTAACCTCTAAAAACAGTGTACCAATATCACCTGTTGGTCAGGAACAAATGAAAGAAAATCCTGAGCAAACCCTTCCTAATAGCTGCACATGGCTAGGTCGTCCCATATGTATTAAGCAGAGCTGCATCCACAGGTTCTAAGCATGATGGGCAGGTAAAAGAGCGCATTAACCAATCATCAATGCACTCTGTGTGGTACGTATGCATACATGGCAGATAGCGCACTCGATCACCAACGGTGAAGTCTATCATGCAGATAACACATCTGCAATTAAAGAAAATATTCAAGATTAAGTAACGTAGATGTAAGAAACAATTCAAAATAATGATCATGTTGAGTCAAAAACAAAGCTGTCAATCTATTTCAGCAAAAACAATTTTAATGTCAAAAGATGTCTTGTGGCAGAGCTGTAAGCTTATACCTAAGGATCCAGGTTCAATCAAAGGGTAGGTGAAGACTGGCATATACCTCAAACCCTGTTGCCCCTTTTTCCCTAGCAGTTTTCAAGCCTGTACATGAAAAGTTTAAAAACCCCTTTTTCGGGTCCGTGCCATAGATCTACAAAAATTTGGGGGGTCCAAACTGTGACTACCCATGAGTCATTCACTTGAAAAGCTGTAGCAAAAATTTGGGCCTGATATGAGAGAATAAGCATTGGAGGTGGCCCCAAAAAAAATAAATACTGCACAAAGTCACAATGAGGAAAAACAGACCGAATTTTCAATTAAAAGCAGCGATTTTTGCGTGTTTTTTCTTTGTTTTTTATAGTTTTTTTGCGATTTTTTGGGTCCCTTTTGATGAATGGAGGTATATTACAGAAAGGATGATTTTGAAGGTTTTTTTTAGTACTAAAAGGGCCTAAAAACAGAGCTAAAAAAGTACAGAAAAATTTTAAAATTTTTTTGCCGATGTTCAAGAGAAAAAGAATGACCTCACCGTCTAATACACACCACTGGCGATCTAATATACGTTCAAAAGTGTGGGATTTTATTTATACAATTATTCGTCTGCAAAACATAAATTTTTTCAATTTTTTGGTTTTGAATAAAAATTCTTAGTGAATAAAAAACAAAAAGGAATTCATTTTTTAAACCTGAAAATGAACAATGAACAGGGAAATGTTAGTTTAGTGCCAAAATGCCTGCATTTTTTATTCTGGACACTATTTTTAAACTGGGAAAATTTTGAACTTTGCATTAAAATGGCCAAATTACCAATTTTTCCCATCCTTTATTTTTGTAGTTGAAAAAAGCTGACTTGGTTTTTCTTGTGCCAATCGATTTTGAACAGAAGTAAAACTTTTGAAATAAAAAGAATTTGGTCACTAGAATAAGTAATTGGCCTAAATGGGCAAAATCGTTTTGCTAAATGTCGTGACACACAAAATTCAGGAGCAAATTTGAAAATTTTTCATCAAATTTCGTTTCTTTTTGTTTTATTACCTCAGAAAAGATTATCTTTCATAAAAAAACTAACAAAAAATTTTTTTTTGAAAATTCTTGAACCCCGGGGCCCCACTTTGAAATTTGGCCTCTGGACCCTGAAGGGTTTTAAGGGTTTCTGCAGGTGTTTAAACCAAGGTAACAGGATATACAGGATCAAAAAACAAACCTTAACTTTGGCCTAACAGCACAAGTTAAAAGTTTACAGAAGTACCGGAAACAACACTGATAACCCGACATGATTTTAAGTTTTTTAAACAAAAAAAATGAATGGGGACTCAAACTGGTTCCATGTGAATGCAGGCCCAATGCTTAACCCCTCAGCCCAGAGCTAACTATTATTTTTCACTATCATTTGAACATAGGTGTAGCGAGAAACAACTGTGCCCCAATTGGCTACGTTTAAAGCTTTGGGGGGGTTGAAAAAAAAAAAATAACCATAAAAATTTCTGGGACTCTTGGCTTAGACAGTAGTCACATTTTGGTGCTGCTTCTAAACCCTGTCACAGTAGTGGGGGTTGAAAAATCCTCCCTTTAAGCTCTGGGGCCCAAGTCCTAACAATGTTGGGCCTAATATACGCATGGACCACCATTCAAGACTATGACCATTCTTTTTAAAAAAATAGAAACTTGTGCCAAGAAGAATGAAAGTATTACTAAAGACATACACTCTAGTACTTTTATTCATAAATTAACTAAATGCTTGTAACAGCAATACTAGAGATGGGACAACATAATTTTTTGCATATACAGATATGGCAAAAATTTTAGTCCAACTTCAATACCATCAAAAATAGCCGATACCCACTAATGCGGATATTCAGTTTTAGGATAAATCAAAAATCAGCAGATACTAAAAATAGTACTCTGGAAACCCTAGTATAAAAGTGTACAAAACTATACCCCATTCTGGGGGTTTATATTTTAACCCTTTACCAGGCCATGAGGAAACCCTAAGCCAATGAGGTTAACAGCATTCTTAGGGAATGGGGGTTTATCTAAGGAAAAGGATAGTAGCTCCAATTCTCTGGATCAAGAGCTCTTCACTAACATCAAGACCCCCCCCCCCCACACACACACATACTTTTGAAAGGTCCTCTAGGATGCAAAAAAAAATTTCCCAAAACAGTCACAGAGGGAGAGAACCCCAAAGGATTAATTCTCAGCTCTGTTTACATTCAGCTTTGGTAGTTATTGCCATCTACACACATGCTGCTTTGTATGACAAATTATGTAACTGTTTTTTTTTGTACCTGTACCTGAATAAACTAATTAACTTACAATGTGACATATGGAGGTCCCCACTTTGCAGCACTTTGCTTTAAAGCATTTTGCTAATGAAGAGGTTTTTCAGTTATACCCATTTTTCCTTTATTCAGACTTCCTCCCAATAAATATATTCACCACTCCTATCCACTAAGGAAAAAAATATTTTTAAGGTAAGTAATGTGTGTACTGCATACGCATTTTTTACGCCTAGCTCTATTGCTAAACTTAAAATATGTTTGTGTAAATACATCATCAAGCTTTTAAATGCTTTTTGAAAGTGTAGAGGGGAAAAAAAAAAGAGGGGGAAGGGGGGGGGGGGGATAAAAAGGAGGCTACGTTTCACTTTACAGCGGTAGCTTGGAACCTAACCTGCTGCATAAGTGGGGCTCTCCTGTATACAGAGTAATCATGTAAATGAATAACACTGCCTCTGTAACAAATGCAAACAATGGCACTCCAACATGAGAACGTGACTTACAATAAGATCAAGCATTTTGTTATGCGAGGACACTTCTATATGCAAGAAATTATGTTCTTTCAAAAATGAAAGAGAGGAGGGGGGAAAATAACAATACATAACCCGCCACATTTGAGATTATAAAAAGATTTTGAAGCTTCTTTTGATTTTAAAATGAGGTGGCTATTTAGGCTTCAAGCATCATGGCAATGCACCAGATCACATAAAAAAAAAAATGTCCAGAAAAAAGGTTAAATGACCTAGAAGACAGTGTATACTGAAAAACCATCAATGAGTTTACTCACTCTCCACTCTTCTTAGAGCCATCGAAAATTCCCAAGGTAGGTGTGTTATTAACCCCATGGTTTGGCAATCTTCACCTGCTCTTCTTCAGTCAACTGGGAAGCTGGCCGACTTACAGATGGGGAAGGAAAAAACATAGCAGGCGCCTCCTGTAAAAAAAAGTTATGAAACAAAAAAAAACAAAAACAAAAAAAAAACAAAAAAAAAAAAAAAAACAAAAAAAAAAAATGAAAATAATTTATACTAATTTGGTTTTTCAAACATCTAAATTATTAGTACAGTGGACCCCCGGTTAACGATTTTAATCCGTGCAAGAGGGCTCATCGTTATGCGAAATAATCGTTATGCGAATGAATTTTCCCCATAAGAAATAATGGAAATAAAATTAATCCGTGCAAGACGCCCAAAAGTATGAAAAAATTTTTTTTTTACCACATGAAATGTTAATTTTAATACACACAAACTGAAAAAGGCATGCACAATTAAATGACACTTACTTTTATTGAAGATCTGGTGATGATTGATGGGATGGGAGGAGGGGAGAGAGTGTGTTAGTGTTTAGAAGGGGAATCCCCTTCCATTAGGACTTGAGGTAGTAAGTCCTTTTCTGGGGTTACTTCCCTTTTCTTTTAATGCCACTAGGGCCAGCTTCAGAGTCACTGGACTTCTTTCGCACAAGATATCTGTCCATAGTGGCCTGTACCTCTGTTCCTTTATGACTTGCCTAAAGTGTTTCACAACATTGTCAGTGTAATAATCACCAGCACGGCTTGCAATAGCTGTGTGAGGGTGATTTTCATCCATGAAGGTTTGCACTTCAAGCCACTTAGCACAGATTTCCTTTATCTTTGTAGTAGGCAACTTCTTCAATTTCTCTCTCCCCTCCTCTGAACCAGTTTCCTCAGGTCTGGCCTCTTGCTCTTGAAGTTGATCTATCAGCTCATCAGTGGTTAGTTCTTCATTGTCCTCCTCCACCAACTCTTCCACATCCTCCCCACTAACCTCCAACCCCAAGGACTTTCCCAATGCCACAATGGATTCCTCAACTGGCACAGGATTCTCAGGGTTAGCCTCAAACCCTTCAAAACCCCTTTTGTCTACACATTCTGGCCACAGTTTCTTCCAAGCAGAGTTCAAGGTCCTCTTAGTCACTTCCTCCAAGCCTTACCTATAAGGTTTAACAATTGAGGATATTAAAGTGATCTCTCCAAAACTCTCTTAGAGTCAGTTGAGTTTCTGAGGTCATTACAAAGCACCTTTCAAACAGAGCTTTTGTGTACAGTTTCTTGAAGTTGGAAATAACCTGCTGGTCCATGGGCTGCAGGAGAGGAGTGGTATTAGGAGGCAAAAACTTCACCTTAATGAAGCTCATGTCCCCATAAAGTCGCTCTGCCACGTCTGTAGGATGACCAGGGGCATTGTCTAACACCAGGAGGCACTTAAGTTCTAATTTCTTTTCAGTTAGGTAATTTTTCACATTGGGGGCAAATGCATGGTGTAACCAGTTATAGAAAAATTCCCTAGTGACCCATGCCTTACTGTTTGCCCTCCACAGCAACACAAAATTATCCTTGAGGACATTCTTTTGCCTGAACGCTCTGGGAGTTTCAGAGTGATACACTAATAAAGGCTTCACTTTGCAATCACCAGTAGCATTGGCACACATCAACAAAGTAAGCCTGTCTTTCATAGGCTTATGTCCCGGGAGTGCCTTTTCCTCCTGAGTAATGTAGGTCCTGCTTGGCATTTTCTTCCAGAACAGGCCTGTTTCATCACAATTAAACACTTGTTCAGGTTTCAGTCCTTCAGTTTCTATGTACTCCTTGAATTCCTGCACATATTTTTCAGCCGCTTTGTGGTCCGAACTGGCAGCCTCACCATGCCTTATCACACTATGGATGCCACTACGCTTCTTAAATCTCTCAAACCAACCTTTGCTGGCCTTAAATTCACTCACATCATCACTAGTTGCAGGCATTTTTTTAATTAAATCGTCATGCAACTTCCCAGCCTTTTCACATATGATCGCTTGAGAGATGCTATCTCCTGCTATCTGTTTTTCATTTATCCACACCAATAAGAGTCTCTCAACATCTTCCATCACTTGCGATCTTTGTTTCGAAAACACAGTTGAACCTTTGGCAAGAACAGCTTCCTTGATTGTCTTTCTGGTGCCCACCCAATAGTAGCGATGGTTGATTGGGGTTTCTTGTACAGCTTGACTAGGTCGGCTATACGCACTCCACTTTCATACTTATCAATATCTCTTTCTTCATCTCTATAGTAATTCTTACCTTTGAGGTGTAGGGTTGGCACTAGAAGCTTTCTTGGGGCCCATGGTCACTTATTTTCCAGAAACAGCACCGAAAATACTGTAATAATACGAAATATTCGAGTGTATGCTTGGATGTTACCGCGGAGGCTGGCTGGTAAACAATGGGACGGGGCGGCACATGTGAGGCTGGCTGAGGGCACATTGGACGCGTCTCGGACGAAAATCGGTTTAAACGGGTTTTTAATCGGTATGCGCGGCAAAAATTTTGCGATAAAAGTAATCGTTATGCGGAAAAATCGCTATGTGATGCCATCGTTATGCGGGGGTCCACTGTATTATAAACATGTCATGGGACATCCTAAATCCTGTAGTGTTATACAGCACTTAGGCAAGGTTTGACATCAGGAATAAGAGAATGGTTACTCCTATTGCTCCAATTAAGAACCCCCTCGCCAGCATCAAAGCACCCACTGTGGATTAATATTCTCAATGACTACACTCCAAATTAAATGTTTTATTCTTGTAACACACTGTATAACTTTGGAAAGATTTTGCCAAAATACATAAAACAGTCATGGGGAAATTGAGCCGTAATGAAGAAAGCATGGAAAAAGTACTATTCACTCTTCAAAGTGTTACATCTGTGACTGAAAATTCAGCTTCTTATGTCACAAAACCAAAAAAATCGTAGTTAAACTATAAAAATAAAAAATTATACAAAATTAAAAAATATAAAAGCTATAAAAATAATACAAAAAAAATGTAAGTTATAAAATTATCAAGTCAGAAAAAGTGTAAAATGTTGTAAATTATAAGAGAAACTCTCTTGTTAATGCTTCAAGTACAGTGGACCCCCGCATAACGATCACCTCCCAATGCGACTAATTATGTAAGTGTATTTATGTAAGTGCGTTTGTACGTGTATGTTTGGGGGTCTGAAATGGACTAATCTACTTCACAATATTCCTTATGGGAACAAATTCAGTCAGTACTGGCACCTAAACATACATGTACTTCTGGAATGAAAAAATATCGTTAACCGGGGGTCCACTGTATATCTGAAGGGTGTTCCAGGGGGTAAACACCTCTGCAACCCTGCATAATAAAGGGCTTTCTATGCACCACTGCTTCTACCCTCATATTTTTGTACAATTTCCTTCTTCAACTCTATCGTATTATTATTATTAGCAGTAGCAGAAATGTTCGATTCTTTCCCGTGTTCTAGAGTAAACATATGATGTCACCGTCCAATACCTGTCCGAATGGCCATTCCAATATGCAGTCATGAATGGGTTGACATTATTTATACTGTAGTTTTATAGCAAATAATGAACAAACAAAACACTCACCACACTGAGTGGCGGGAAACTTAAATACAATTTGGCAGTTGGGAATTCGCGAATGTGTGAAGCCCATGAAAGTTGAAAACGCGAATGTTGAAGAAGACCTGTAGTAGTATGCTACTGATGTCAACTAGGCCTGTATACTAAGTATGGGTACTTGTAATAAATAAAGATTTTTTTTTCAACAAGTCAACAGTCTCCCACCGAGGCAGGGTGACCCAAAAAGAAGAAAATTCCCAAAAAGAAAATACTTTCATCATCATTCAACACTTTCACCTCACTCATACATAATCACTGTCTTTGCAGAGGCGCCCGGATACGACAGTTTAGAAGTCCCTCCAAACTGTCAATATCCCAGACCCCTCCTTTAAAGTGCAGGCATTGTACTTCTCATTTCCAGGACTCAAGTCCAGGTAAATCTATATATACCGGTTTCCCTGAATCCCTTCACTAAATATTACCCTGCTCACACTCCAACAGCTCGTCAAGTCCCAAAAACCATTCGTCTCCATTTACTCCTATCTAACATGCTCACACATGCTTGCTGGAAGTCCAAGCCCCTCGCCCACTAAACCTCCTTTACCCCCTCCCTCCAACCTTTTCGAGGACAGCTCTCGCCCCTCCTTCCTTCCCCTACAGATTTATACACTCTCCAATTCATTCTACTGTGATCCATTTTCTTTAAATGACCAAACCACCTCAACAACCTCTCTTCATCCCTCTGACTAATACTTTTAGTAACTCCACACCACCTCCTAATTTCCACACTCTGAATTCTGATGCCCTTAGACAGGACATCTCCACTGCCTCCAGCCTCCTCCTCGCTGCAGCATTTACAACCCAAGCTTCACACCCATGTAAAAGTGTTGGTACCACTATACTTTCATACATTCCCTTCTTTGCCTCCATAGATAACTTAAATAAATAGACATTATTATTATTATATTATCAGCTATTACTATTTCATTCAAAATATGTTCTTTAGATTTTTTTTTTTTTTTTTTTTTTTTCAACAAGTCGGCGTCTCCCACCGAGGCAGGGTGACCCAAAAAGAAAGAAAATCCCCAAAAAGAAAATACTTTCATCATCATTCAACACTTTCACCACACTCGCACATTATCACTGTTTTTGCAGAGGTGCTCAGAATACAACAGTCTAGAAGCATAAACATATAAGATACACAACATACCCCTCCAAACTGCCAATATCCCAAACCCCCCCTTTAAAGTGCAGGCATTTGTACTTCCCATTTCAGGACTCAAGTCCGACTATATGAAAATAACGGTTTCCCTGAATCCCTTCACTAAATATTACCCTGCTCACACTCCAACAGATCGTCAGGTCCCAAGTACCATTCGTCTCCATTCACTCCTATCTAACACGCTCACGCACGCTTGCTGGAAGTCCAAGCCCCTTACCCACAAAACCTCCTTTACCCCCTCTCCCAACCCTTTCGAGGACGACCCTACCCCGCCTTC